CCCACATATATCATGTACATCTTATTTTTGTTTTTAACTTATATATTTGTATTGATAAAATCAATATATATCAAGATTGTTCTTCAATATTAATAATACACGTGTAAAATTTTTTTAGTTCAAATAGACTAAGGTTTACATACCCAAATCGTCTTATATTATAATATTATGTCTTTATATAATAACCATTTATGCTCTCTTATTCTTTTCACCAAACAATTTTAAACTTTGATAATCTCATCCACGAATTTTAATTTCAACTTTTTCATTAGAAAATAACATCAATTTTTCTCTTATTCGATAGGTGAGATAGATTACGACGATCTAATTATAGTATTTTCATTTGTTTTCTGCAAATTGCAAGCTAAAAATTTGTACATCATTGGCTTCTTGAAAAATTTGGAAATTTTTTTTTTTGGTCTAAACAAAAATTTGGGAATCAATTATGCGAAAATAATTTTATTAAAATTTGTAATTTTAGTTTGCAACTAAAAATGTGAGATTTAATTCGTCAAAATTTTGGAAAAATAGATAATGAGTAGATACATAAAAATATAACCTAATTCATTTAGGAATAGAAAAAAATAATTATTTGGAATTATTTGAAAAATATAAATAAAAATAATATAATAAAAGAGTCAAAATAACTTAATAACGGTGTGACTTCTCTATTAGTGGTCTTGCAGTTTTCGATTTTTTTTTTCACATATTATAAAATATTTTTGAAAACTGAAAAATTCAAATAGGAAAATGAGCAACTAATTCAATTTTGTTTTAAAAAAAAATAGAGTAGTGAAGTAGTAAAACTAAATGAATTTCTATTTGAATAGAAAAACCTAATTACGTGATAAAATTCAAGAATTACTTGGAAACCAAATAAGAAAAACAGCCAAGTTAATAAAGTAAATCTTAAACTATTTTATATCAACATTTTCGGTTTTATTTTGTTTATTTTCATGGGTGATTTATTATTTGTTTACTTTTTTTGAATTTGATCTTTCCATGAGTTACAAAATATCTTATCACTGGTTACAAAATATTATATCACAAACCTGCATATATGCAAGTCCTTTACCTAATACAATATAATTTGCTAAATATGGTAGGAATCAAAATCCACTATTTTAGGTCCCTTTAATAGTGGATTTAAAAAATAGGTATCATCGTATTCGCTTTTTTTAATTATATATTAAATTAATTCAAAGAAAAAACTGTTTTACATAAATGTTTTTTTGTTATGAGTGTTTGGTTAAAAACAATTTTTTAAAAAAAAAATCTAGCCTAAAACAGCAAACCACATTTGAAGACTCTCCTCGTATCGCGGGTACCTGCGGATCGTGACGAGTTGGTTCTTCATGATGCAACTTGGAAGAGTTGGCATCTCACCATATCGCCGCGCGTTTCGTTTCAAAGACACATCGTGCTAAGAAACTTTGAATACGGGTCAGACTTTTGTCAATTAGGTAGCTGAAAATTGTCTCCCAATCTGTTGAGTATCTAGTGTTAAGTAGCTTCCTTGCTAAGTTGGACCAAATTTCAGAGGAGTACCTACAAGAGAAGAACAAATGATATCTCGTCTCCCTGAGATCCGAGTATAGAGCACAAGTTGAGTTAGCTACAGCATTCCACAAACTCATACGGTCTCCCGTCGATAAACGATTATGCATCGCTAGCCAAGTACAAAAGGAGTATTGATATATACGATATTTTACCCGTTTTTCTATATTTTAATATGTATTTAATAAAGAAATGAATGTTTTTTAGATTTAGCATTCCACTTTTAGAATTTTCGTGGGTTTTGAAGTCCTTATAGGATTTTAGAGTATTTTGGACCAAAAAAAAAGTGAAATCAAACCTTTTCAAGGAAGGACAAATCCTGACTGTCAGATATTTCGCTCCAGATAAAGATCTTCCCACCGTTAGATCAAGCTCATGTTTTACCATTAAATATAGGAGGATCTTAGCTTCAAAAAAAATATTCATTTGCCTAAATCTGACGGTTAGATCTTGAGATATCTTCGATTTAAGAAAATCTGTTCGAGTGAAGATCAAGCTAAAAGCAGTCCAGAATATTCACCTGCGATCGAACATCACCACGGGCGATCGACCGATCACCATTGGCGATCAACGGATCACGAATTCACTGTTTTCAACGGACATACTCATTAACACTGCGATCGATCGATCGTCCCATCCGAGAAAATTGGAAATTTTCTTTTTTTGAAGATTATCTCCTAAATCTTTTGAGAGAAGCCCTAGCCGACCTTAAGACTTATAAAATGAGACTCCTCAGCCTCAAAAGAAGAACACCATGCTCACCACCATCATCACTTCAAAAGTCTTGGTTCTTCACAAGTCGTAAGGCATTCATCTCTTTACTTGTTTCTTTAGC